ATTGCCTAATATTTTCCATTTTGTCTTTGGATCTTCTTTTTGAGCAAGGGACAGCTCATAGTCAATAGCATGCAAAGGGAATTGGGCAAACCGTCCTTTGGAAAGTGCTGGAGTTTAGGGCAGCCACGAAATCCTAATGCTTCCAAAGAGGATACGTGGCAAAGACCTTTGTGTCCCAATGATCTAAGATCTGGGCAGTTATGGAACGAAAGATAAGTAATAGTAGGCGGAAGTAGTCCAATATCAGGAAGAGACTCGTGCATCTCCAATCCCTAAGTGATGCAGCAAAGTAAGTCTACTCAGATGCCACCCTACTCGAGAGGCTACAAGTTTCGGGCATTCCAAGACATCAAGATGTTGGAGACTTAATGGGAAACCTTCTTCTGAAAATGATTCCACTTGTGGGCAACATATTATTACCAGATATATGAGGGAGGGAAAGAAAATATGCATCTTCTCTGGCACTAATTTCAAATTCTTCAATTCTTTGATGCAACACAATACTAGTTTGGGGTCCGAAAACCCTCCTTCAGGAAAACGTACAAATCTAGGACACTTTTAAATGTATAAGTTTGCAAGAGAAAAATGGTTCTCCTCTAGACATCATTTCAAGATTATTACAGTCAACCAACTTCAATGATTGAAGCATCGAGAACAAATCCAGAGGAAAAGACTTGAAAGAGTCATAGCTCCCTCTTATCTCCATTTCAAGAATGAACTTATGAAAATAGCACAATAGGAATTCTAAGTGGGGAGAACCAGAACACTTCAACTCTTCGTTACAATTAGCAATGACATTCTCAATTTTGTCAACTAATAATAAATTTTTAAAGCCTCTAGAAATGTCAAGGACTTTTAGAGATCACTACAAAAAAATAGACAATTACTGATGGAATTTAGTGATGGAAATTCCATTGCTAAAAGGCTTTGCGGCGGAAATTAGCAACAAAATTTCGTCGCAAATGTATTAGCGATAGAATTAGTGATGGAATTAAGTCCATCACTAAGTCTTCTAGCAAAAAAAAAAAATTTTCATAAATTTTGCTAGAAAAAATTTTTTCATAAATTTTGCATTAGTGACAAAATTAACGACGGATTTCCGACAGAATTTAGCCACGGAAATTTTTTATGTTAGAAATTTCGTCGTAAAATTGGAATAGGTTAACCTCACCTTTTCTCCAAATTACCCATGGATTTATGACAGCTTTGTGACAAATTTCCAACGTAATTGCGACCAAAATTCTGTCGCTAAATTTTCTAACAAAATTGTGATGGACTTACACTGGAATTTAGCAATAAAAATATTCCGTTGCAAATTCTGTCAGTATTTGTCATTTACCGATAGAATTTATGACGGAATATTTCCTTCACTAAGTTTCGTCGCAAGTCCGTTGAAAAATTCAGCAACGAAATTTCTGTCGCAATTCCGTCAGAAATTAGGGATGGAATTTGTTTCCGTCACAAATTCCGTCGCTAATCAACTATTTTTTTGTAGTGCTTGATGGAAGACTCTCCAACTACTCATTTCTGCAATTTCTTAGAACCAATTTATCTAGAGATAGATCCCGAGGAATGGAAGACAAAAGCTTCTCACAATTGGAAATTACTAGCATCCTTAGAGAAGGAAGTTGTTGAGGAAGTTGCCCTTTCAATTTGGGACAATTTTCTATACTCAACTATTGAAGATGAGGGAAAGTTAGTGACAAAATTTTACACTTCCATTCCTCTCAGCTCTTCATATCTCCAAACCTCAAGATTTCTAGGGATGAAGCATTAGAGCTACTTCCGCAAAATTCTGGACCAATAACTACTATATTATGAAACCTTATAATTGACAGTGACTTGAGAGATGGAAAGAGGCCAATTGATGGCAAGGATACACAGTATTTGCAATGCCTTATTAATGAGGTAAGAAAATCACTCACCATGTAAAAATTTGGACACAAATTTCAAAGTCTTGTATTCATTTCTCAAGTATAAAACAAGAGAATCTCTATCCATGGCAAGTAACCATAGTTTAATGAAGAAGGGAATCAAGTTTTTATAATTTGTAACCATGACACTGGTAAACTATCTACAACAATGATGCCAAAATATCCTAGTGCAATCCCAAACAGCTAGAATTTTACTCAAGAAAGAAGGGAAGTTATTGTCTTATAATATCTACTGAAAAACTCAACTTTTAAAAGACAAACAAAATCTCAGAATATGACGAAGATAGGTTTTGAGCAGCACTGAAAGCACACTACCTTTTGGGCAATCAATTCCATGGGAGTTGTACTTATGAATGAATATTGAGCAATTGGATGTGCTATCTTGCTTCTGATGTTAAGAGTAAAAGGGAAAAAGTGGTGGCCTTCCTTAGCAATTGGACAATATGAGGAGAAGAGTCTCTTGTTCAGTGGACACGATATTAAGAGCCTGTCAAAGAGAAAAGCGAATCAGTATCTGTTTACATAATGCTCTCAGGACTTTTTCATAGGGATTTCCCAATGCAAGGAATTTAAAATGCAGTAAGTTCATTCCATGGATTCTTTATATAATGTTTTTATAACTAACAAGTGAACTTTAAGTTATTAAAATTTCTCACATTTTGCATGCTTCCAATCCATGGTCTTCGAAAATAAATTATTACCATCCTCTATTTTTCCAACACGTATACTCAAGAACTACACAAATTCCCACAAGGATGCGCTTCAGATCTGGATTTTGTAAGAAAAATGTTATGTTGATTTGAACTTGTACAAATATCAACTTAATGGTATGCTTGAGTCAAGAAGAATGAAGATGAAAGAAAGATTTGAGTTAGATTTGAAGTTGGGAAAATATTTAAATCAAATTTTCTCTCCCATTCTCCTCAATCCAAACATGCCCTTTTCATGATTCTTTTCTCAAGACACCCCAGCCCAAGCCTACCAAATATTGGACATGTGACGTATATGTCCAAGTTGTAAGAATTATTAGTATACGCAGGGCTCCTATTTACATACCGACCATCTGTGGGCTTTCTTAAAAGGGGGGTTGAGATATGTTGAGTCCTGTCCTTTGAAATTCTTGGAAAAGCTCATTAGCCCCTTTTTTAGCGTTGTGTCTGATGGCTTCTTGGGTCCAATTTGAGCAATTATGTTCTCTGCATATTCTTCTGTTGAATGAAGAACCCATCTTTCACAGTAAAGTAAACATGCCACTGGCAATCAATAAGTTATAGATTAATGGAAAATGACAGAAGATTAAACAAATACCTATGAGTTGAACGGCCTGGCTTGCTGCTCTCACAATGAGCCCACCTTAAGATGCTAGAATTCCTAATAAAGAAGCCTTTGAAGGCTATCTGAAAAATTTGAACCCCAGATGGAATTTATTTCGCAGAAGATTTTTAAGTATACATTCAAAAGACTAAATCAAGCTGTTATTTTATTTTATTATGATTAACTATAATAATTAGACAGACACCTCCTGTCTCCTCTACCAAGTTCAATTTTCAGTTTCGATAGCAAGCCATGTATACAAAAGGAAATAGAAAATGGCCAAGCCAAAACCAATCATGCAGTGAATAAGGAAATCAAAGAAGCCATACAGATTTCATTCACTATTAATGACAACTTCAAAGGTGTATAGCTACTATCATACTGGGATTACAGGCTCTGCAAATGCCAGCATTACAGCAGAACATGGCCTAATAGGAAGATCACCCAACTTTGCTGACAACTCTGGCATCAAATTCATATCTGCATTCATCGCAAAAGTCAATCTGCCGCTATTGACCATAGAAACGCCACAGTAAGTATCATCTGACATAAAGTACCCACAATTTAGATGCTAAGTTTTCACCTTTCAGAATATGAACACACACACACGTGACCAAGCTAATTACATCGACGCCCCTGGGGCAGATTTGAATATAAAAATAGTCAATACGTAGTCCATTTGTCCAGCTCATCAATTCCATATTGGTTCATCTACTAAACCATAGAGTACCAAATTAATCAGATATCACTCTTAGTTAACGTAAAGGAATCTTTAATTCATCGCAAAAATGTTGGGTAAAAAGTCTCTCCACTTTCCTTCCTCTCCATTTCCATCTCAACTATTAAGATTGAAAGTTTAATAGTTCAGATTTTATTTTTTAGAAAATAATTTTTAGTATTTTTTGAATTATTATGGCTAAGATTTATTAGTTGTATTTTATTTTATTTATTTATTGAAAATTTAACAGATTATTTATAATTATATAAATATGAAATCAAACTATTGAAATTTTAATCTTACAATTGAGAGGAGAAGTGGATCGAAATAAAGGGAAAGGGATGTGGAAATACTCCTTACCCTATTTTATAAGACAAATGATAAAAGTAATAACGCGTTGCAATCACTTTTTTCCTCCTCGATTTCTAACAAGTTTTCATACTGAAAATAGAAACAAGCATTTTATATTGACAGTTATATCCTTTGATAATTCTCACTTGTTAAAAGCAAGTTGAGATCTTCTTCCATCACTCAACATCCAAAATAAAAAAAAAACAAAAAATAAAAAGAGAAACAGAATAGACACCTAATAAGAATACATATAGCATTGGCCATGTTTAACAATTTGAAGTAAAAACAACAATAAACAACAAAATAATACTCATGATTCCTAATTAGAATTTGAAGCGTAAAGGAGCTACTTGCCGAAAGAAATTATGTTCATTTTATGCAGCTTTGCTATCATTAATATCTACAAAAATAAAAATTTCATATAAACAAGCAAATCTAAGAATAAAGCAGTGCAAACATAAGGATATATATATTTACAACCTAAAATTCCAACAAAATAAGCATGACTATTGAAAGCTGGGAACCACCATGATGTGCAGCACTCGCTCAGCAAACAAATAAAGCTGAGTTTTTATGATCTGAAATTCAGTTAATCTAGCAAATCGTTCAATCTTAAGCACATAGGCAAAAGAAAGAAAATTATATTCACAACTTGAAACCTTAAAAAAGGAGTGAATATATACCTAACGAGCGTATGCAGAATGGATAGTGGCAAAACTGACGCCTTCATGAGTGAGGAGCTCGCCTATCAATCCTACTACATCATCTTCAGTGCTACTAAAAGGGATGTGAGAAATAATTGCCCGATATTTTCCATTTTGTTTTTGGATCTTCTTTTTGAGTAAGGGACAGCCAATAACCCGTAGCATACAAAGGGAATTGAGCAAATCCTCCTTTGGAAAGTGTTGGAGTTTAGGGCAGCCACGAAATCCCAGTCCTTCCAAAGAGGATAAGTGGCAAAGACCTTTGTGTTCCAATGATCTAAGATTTGGGCAGTTATGGAATGAAAGACTAGTAATAGTAGGCGGAAGTAGTCCAATATCAGGAAGAGACTCGTCATCTGCATCTCCAATCCCTAAGTGATACAATGAAGTAAGGCTATTCAAATGCCACCCCCTTCGAGAGGCTATAAGTTTCGGGCATTCCAAGACATCAAGATATTGGAGTTTTGATGGGAGACCTTCCTCTAAAAATGATTCCACTTGTGGGCAACATCTTATTACCAGATATAAGAGAGAGGGAAAGAAAATGCACATCTTCTCTGGCAGTGATTTCAAATTCTTCAATTCTTCAATGCAGCACAACATTAGTTTGGGGGCTAAAAACCCTCCTTTAGGAAAACGTACAAATCTAGGACACTTTCGTATGTACAAGTCTACTAGAGAAAAATGGTTCCCCTCTGAAATAGATATCATTTCAAGATTATTACAGTCAATCAACTTCAATGATTGAAGCTTCGGGAATAAATCCAGAGGAAAAGACTTGAGAGAGTCGCAACTCCCCCTTATCTCCATCTCAAGAATGAAGTTATGAAAATAGCACGGTGGCAAATCAAGGTGGGGACAATCAGAAAACTTCAACTCTTCAAGCTTACAATTAGCAATGACACTCTTAATTTTGTCAACTGATAATAAATTTTTGAAGCCTCCAGAAATGTCAAGGACTTTTAGAGATGATGGAAGACTTTCTAACTGCTCATTTCCACAATTTCTTAGAACCAATTTATCCAGAGATGGATCCCGTGGAATGGAAGACAAAAGCTTCTCACAATTGGAAATTACTAGCATCCTTAGAGAAGGAAGTTGTTGAGGAAGTTGCCCTTTCAATTTGGGACAATTTTCTATACTCAACTCTTGAAGATGAGGGAAAGTTAATGGCAAAATTTCACACTTCCATTCCTCCCAGCTCTTCATATCTCCAAACCTCAAGATTTCTAGGGATGAAGCATTAGAGCTACTTCCGCAAAATTCTGGACCAATAACTACTATATTATCAAACCCTATAATTGACAATGACTTGAGAGATGGAAAGAGGCCAATTGATGGCAAGGATATACAGTATTTGCAATGCCTTAGCTCTAGGGACATTAAATTGGACAACGAATGATTTGCAAGCCAATTTGGAAACTCGATACCACCATAGTTGCCAATTGATAGCTTTTTTAAATTTTTATGCGGTTGGAAGTTGTCCAGCACATCCTTGTCATGTGGTGATTTTTTGTTCTCTGTGCACCATTCTAATGTTAACTCCTTTAGGTGTATCTTGCTTCTCAAATTGACCCCTAAAGCAGCCGAGGGAGAAGCCACATTCTGTAGTCCTGAGATGGAAAATGATCCATGAAGATTAAGTCCTTCTAAATATTTGATGTTAGTCTCTCCAAATTTGTCTATAATAAATGATGACAACACTTGAAGGTTTTTCAACTTATCAAATTTCTCTGGCATCTCTCTCACCTGAGTTTCGCGAAAATCAAGGTGACGTAGATTCATGAGTTTATGAAAATCCATTGGTAACTTTTCCAAAAGACAACAACGCCACAACTTTAGAGTTTGCAAATGATGCAGTTGACATATTGAATCAGGCAGTTTCCTTATTTTAGTTCCTGATAAGTCTAAATAACCGAGATGTTTGAGGTTTCCTATTGAATCAGGTAACTGTGTGATGAAATGATCAGATAGAGATAAAACTCGCATGCAAGTGAACTTGGACGGCAAATTGTGAGTGAACTTGCCAGATATAAAGTGAAGAATGGAGTTATAGCTTGTACTTCTATGACCTTGCATCGGCAAAGGCAAGAAAGTGCGCAATTTATTAGCCTTGTATATAACCTCAAATCGTTTGGATGTATTAACATAATTTCTCAAAAATGAAATATGTCGGGTCATTTCTGTCAATTTATTTACATCATCTAACTCCAACCTATGGCAAAACTTTCCATATTCAACTTTTGCCATATCATTAGTAAGATCATGCATGATGAAACGAGTGTCATCTACTGGTGATCGTTGAAAAAGTGACCTCAACAATAGGTCATTAAAGAATTGTTCTCCTAGTTCTCTCCCATCTTTGCTTTGATGAGCACATGTCAGAAAATTTTCTGCCATCCATAGTTGAATTAACTGCTCCTTATCAAAAGCATAATCTTTAGGAAATATTGAACAATAAGCAAAGCATCTTTTGAGATGAGAGGGGAGGTAGCAGTAACTCAATCTCAAAGCAGGAAGAATCTCGCTATCGCTTTTTTCCTCCCATATCTCGCATTTCAAAATGCCATTCCAATTCTCATGAGATGATTCTGTGTATAAGAGACTCCCAATGGCTTTCAAAGCCAAAGGCAGCCCTTTGCATTTTTTACTGATTTTTCTACCAATTTCTTCAAGGTCGGTGTTTGCACAAAGAACATTTCCACCATGGAATGCATATCTACTAAATAATGACCAACTATCTCCTTTCGATAACGGCTTCAATTGAAGTATATCAGCAGAACGCATGGTTGAAGCAACTTTTTTGCTGCGAGTAGTTAGAAGAATTTTGCTTCCCAGAGCCCCATTATTAAATGGTGATTGCAAGGCCTCCCATAGCATATAATTTTCATTCCACACGTCGTCTAAAACAAGGAGAAATCTCTTTTGAGTTAATTGTTGTTTCAATTTAATTTGAAGCGTATTTAAATCATTGGTGTCATACATATATCCAGTGATTGCCTCATAAATTGTTCTTGTTACCCTCAATACATCGAATTCATCAGAGACACACACCCAAACTTTGAGGTTGAACCCATCCATCACCCTACTATCATTAAAGACGAGCTGGGCAAGAGTAGTTTTACCCAGACCACCCATACCCACTATAGAAATCATAGATGGTTGGTTGTTATACTTTTCTGACAGAAGCCATTCAATGATGGTTTCTTTGTCATCATCCCTGCCGTATGTTGCATTTTCATCCACTAAAGATGCAGTTGGCAATCTATTTGATATAGCACTTCTCAATCCAGCACCGCTATCACGTTCATTCAATCTTAATATGTCCCTCTGAGATGCAAGATATTCTAGATTTTCAAGGACAGTTTTCATCCTGGATTCAATTTTCTTCTCAAATGAACTAACAGAAGCACTAAAGAAGCTTCGTACCTTGCCAATAGCACCGGTTTGACTCTTTTGTTCAGCTTCCAGCTTGCCCTTGCACATTTCATAATCAATCGCATCCAAGATATCCTCGGCATCGAACACAGCATCTTTGACCAAATCAATCCAGTCCTTCACCTTGGGATTAGTGATCTGCTTTTGCTCTGCATCATCAACCACAGCATCGATGGATAATAGCACGATCTTCAAGTTACTGAGCAATGTCTGATTCAATTTTTGCTTTTTGAAAAAATCTAGAAAATCCCGAGAAGCCAGCCGATCGAAAGCCACCTGAAGAAAAGCAGAAAGAAAAGCACCACCAACCATAGCTCCCGCCATAGATGAAGTTGTTGTGGTTGTGCAAATGCAAAACGAAAAGAACGAGATGAAAATGCAGAAGATGGAAAGGCTATTACAATGCAAGAAAGTTGTGACTTTTGTGGATTTGATGATTGTGGTGAGAAAAAGCGGTCGGCTTTCAGCCATAACCGTTAGCCACAAATATGGGTCAAAATGAAGACTCTCGAGTTCCCTTTCTAACATGAAACGTCTTAGTGCAGGTCAAACGAATTAAAAATCTAACTACAAAAGTCATTCCATTATTTTATTTCAGACTGTGTATCAATTGATATTTTTCTCGAGGTCAAAACGACCGTGCATCGGACAACTCGGTAGAGATTCGTGTTATAGGCTGAAATTATATACTCCTCGTATCCTTAATATAAGACCCATTTAATTAATTTGATCAGATTAAGAAAGTTAGGTAAGTTGGTTAATTATAAGAAATATGACACGTTTTTCCTAAAATACTATAATCATCTTTGTTAATACCCCATCTTCCTCTTTTACTTGATTATGGTTGAGGGAGTATCCATAGGGATAATGTAAAGAAAATTGATAAATATGAGAAATGGGTCTTATATTTAGAATCAAAACTAACTCAACAATTGGGTTATATATTAAGGATCGAAGGAGTATTTTTTATTTTGAACGTCTATGTAAAAAAAATTTTAAGTTAAAATTTAGCATAAATATATTATTAAATTTTTTATTTGATTGGCCTAAAATTTTTTTTTAGGAAATGAATATTTGATCTTTCTTATATTAAATAAATGTTAAATATGAAGATACTATGGTTAAGAAATAGTGGAATTGTGATTCATTTTCATAGCAAGAGATATTAGTGTGTATCTTTTTTTGACAAATAAAAAGAGGATCATAAGTAGTTAAAATGGAAAATATGTATTTTTTTTATAAGAGTGTAATTTTTCACTTACAAAATTCTAGGTGAGTTGAATTTCAAAACTCACTACATCATTATGGGCAAGGTCGATGAGCAGGGCTACAACTCATCCTTTGAGCTAAGTATTAGGCAAGGCCTTGGCCTATCATGTGTACCTCTAACCACTTGTGACAACCGTTCTTTTAAAACCCATTTAGATCAAAATTTTCAATTTATCCGAACGATTAACCATGATAGAAAAGAAGAAACCTTAAAATTTTAAAATTGCTATCATGGTTAAAAGAAATAGACTTCTAATAAGAGTAATATCGATCGTTACCTTGAGCCTTGGACTTCCAAAGTCCAGAAATATAATTCAACCATTAGCCCAAACCAAACTTATATTTTCAACCATACTAACTGATAAATCAGTTTAATATAAACTATATAGCTTATTAGTCAAAAGTCAACACTTTCAAAGGAGCGTTACATGCAGAGTCTAAAATGCCTCGGGCCTCCTCACGCCCTATCATACCAAATAGTAGTAATTAAAAGTATTATTTTACATCATGATAGTAGATGAGCCCTATGTGGCAATATATAACAAGTCAGCATATAAAACAAAAGCAGGGAGGCTATACAAGTTATAACAGCACACTATGCCTCCGGAGCCTTCCCTGATGGGCCACCACCTGAACTATCGCCTGAAAATGTTAAACCACGGGGTGAGACAAATGCCTCAATAACCAGCTTTCCAACTCATCATACATACTAACACGTGCTCGTGAGGTGTCAAGTGGGATAGTTATTAATTCTCGAGAAACATAGATATATCCATAAAAATATAATTTCAATCATCCAAACCCTCACTATGGGAACCAACACACAAGCCACATAAGTCTATCCCTCACTCTGGGGGACCAATCAAACATATGGGCCTATCCCTCACTCTGGGGGACGAATAAGAAGCCACAAGGGCCTATCTCTCACTATGGGGGACGAAAGAAGAAGTCAACCAATGTGCACCAATGGCGGCCTTACCACGTGGTAGGACAGGACTCAATCCAAAATCCAAATAACAACCAATCATTCATAATATAATAAAAATGTCTCAATCTTTTCTCAATATAATCCATAAGATATAAATCATATATCTTTTCCAAACTTCTCAATCACAATTCCAAAAACCCCACAAGACAATTTTCATAGCTCAAAAGATATAACATATCTACTCAAGTTTCAAATATCAAATATTATTCTAAAAATAGCAAAATACTCACAAACAACATATTAGCACATATAACAAGTGGAAAGTGGTTACCTCTCACCAAAGCAATACTAAGGATTATCACAAGGTCAATCCTTTGCTCAGCCAATAATTAATCTACACAATTAATATAACCACATATTAATATAAACTAATTAATTAATTAATTAAACTTCTCTATATTATTTAAATTTATAATTTAATTAAATTTTTACTCTAAATTCCCGCAACTCTCATAACTCAAAAATTATTAAGTATTTTAGAAACAACTTAAAATTTCTAACAACCCCAAATTATTTATTTACCACCTCCAAATTATTTACCTTAATAAAAAGGGTTTTCCACAATTTCCAAATATAAAATTACTATATTCTAAATTCTAAAAACTCTCATTTTCAGTTTAAACCTCAAAATCAAACTCTTAGAAATTTAATAATACTTTAAATATTTATAACTAAATAATATAATCAAAACTTTAATGGTATAACTACCATATATATATATATATATATTTCCATAAATAATAAAATTTTTAGCTACAATAATTATTTTAAAACCTCCAGTCACCCAATAAATAAAACTACACCGATTAAAATCTTAATAATACATCAAACAGTCCAAATAAATTATTTAACTTAAATTTAATCGGTAAAAATATGTTATATCCCATAAATAACAGATTTTTCAACTAGAAAAATTAATTTAAACACTAAAACTAACAAATAGAGAAATCTAAACCGATTAAAATTAACAACTCATTAACTTCTAAATTTCGATAATCATTTTTTGTAAAAACTCAATACTTAGATCATATATAAGTTTCAAAATTTTCTCTAATCACTATAGTAATACTACTATTATGAAGCATAAAATATATATGAAATATTTATGAAGAAAGTTTGATGAAAAGAGATAATTTCATGTACCTAAAATATCTTCAAAGCTTGCCGTCTGCTTCACCGGTATGCTTCTCTCACGCACACACACTTCTGCTTCACCAGTATGCTTCTTGCGCCTGCCGTGGGGGAAAAGGAAATGAATGGTGGGGGTATTTAACACCCCCACACAATTATTGGGGGAGGGGAAATTTCAAATCCATCTCCCACGTTTTCCACCCCCAACTTTCCACACCCCCCTCCAACTTTCCACCGAAATATCGGTGGAAAGTTGGACTTTTGTTTTTTTTTATTTTTTTATATTATAATAAAATATTACTATATTATATTATATTATTTTTCAATTATATATTTTTTTTAAGGATATTACACCACCTATAAGAGTGTTAGACATTACTTTTATATATGAATTTATGTATAAAAATATTATGATTCAATTTGATATATCTTTCCATAAATTATTCATAAATATTTATTTTTTAAAAAAAAACAAAGAGTTACAGAGTTATGTGATCTCTCTTGCTTGAAAAATAAATTATAATATTTTTAACTTATGTATAATGTCACTTTGAATAAATATTATTCCTCTGGTTTTAACTTATGTATAATGTCACTTTGAATAAATATGATTCCTTTGGTTCTTAATGTAGGACTAAATTGGAAAGTTGATGCTGGTCTTATATATAAGGCTTATTTTACATGTTTATTAACTTTTTACTATATTAATCCTATTGATGTCCTCCTCAATAATAATCAAGTAGAAGAGGGAGAGAGGGAATTAAGAAAGATGCTTAGGGTATTATAGAGAAAAAAACATATCATATTAACTAATTTAACTAACGTCCTTAATCTACTTAAATTAGTTAATTGAGTATTATATTAAGAACCTGAATACTATACAGTGAGTGGTTGGTTAATCAAATTCATGACATTGTGCATTTAGACTGTGTACTAATTATTTTTCTGCTCAAGGTCAAAACGAAGACTTTATGGCGGAAAAAATATCGATCAAAATGAAGACTTTAAGTTCCAGTTCTATCATCTCACTTCTGGTAGTAAAAAAAAAAAAAAAAAAATCTAATTACCAAATTTATTCATTTCTTTGACATTATGTGTTTAGAGTGTGTTTTAATTATTATTGTGCTCAAGGCCTAAACCGCCGTGTATTGTGATAGACAACTCAATGGAGGTTCATAACATCTTATAAGCTAAAATTATATATTTTCATGCCAACATATAAGTTTGGTTATCTATATTTGTATCAAGTTTCAGTTTAATTTCTTAAAATTTCTTTGAAAAATAATTTTTCAGTTCCTTAATATTAAGATGATTAGTTTTGTTAAAAAATGTTGACTCAATAAATTTAACCAACAAATTGAAATTATGACTTTGCAATTAAATACTGTCATACTAATCTTTAATTTAAAGTGAGCAAGTTGAATAAATATTATTAAATTTTTTATTTGGTTGGCAAAAAATATGTTTTAGTTTATATTAATGAAATGAATATTTGATATTTCTTATATTAAATAAATGTTAAATATGAAGATATTGTGGTTAAGAAGTAGTGCAATTGTAATTTACTTTCAAAGCAAGACAAGTCATTGTGGGGGCGAAAAGAAAAAAGATTTCAATGGAGGGTAGTTAGACAAGTCATTCCGGTCCAATGAGGCTTGTTCTTATTTGGATATCTTGAACTATGAACCAACAGCACACAATAAAGAGGGCCTAATTATTACTTTCAAATAAGGAGGCCATTGTGGTCTCAAATAAATTCCTAATTATGAAAAACATTTTGTTGAAATCCACTAGGACTATCATGAGATGGGAAAAGGCAACAGAACAGAAAACTCTTAATAATCAAAATCTCTGATTTTTTATTTTGGGGGCTTATATCGGAATTTTATTACTTCACAGAAAATAAAATAAGTTGAATTCTCCATCTCACGCATTG